AGGGAATAGGCACACTGCGAACCAGCAGCTTGATTCTAGGTAAAATATAACGGAAGGAACCCCGGGAACTTCAAGGAGTATCTTTAGCCTCCTGAAATGACAGCACGACCAGAATGCAACCCCGATTTTTAACATGTGGTTCAACGTTTCGGCTGCTGTTCTGGTTCTCACAGTGCTTCCCAAGTCAGGAAAATACTTTCATTTGGTTTATCTCCATAACTAGGAAAGGGAAAGGCAAATTCAGGCCAAGCCAGAATTATAACACTCTTCTCCTGGTCTGGAGGGAGACTGCCCATCCTCTGCCCAGCTCCAAACCAGCTCCTTGACCCTGGTTTCTCCACTAAACCACATGCCCTGTGGAGCTCAGAGCAAGAGAACTCCTATGTACATGCTCCAGTGCCATTTGTTTGAAGGGAAACACTTCCTTTCCTGATCACAAAAGCAAATCCTGCAGAGAACTAGCAAATCTAGTTTGAGAAGAGCTTAGATTCACATTCTCAAATGCCATCAAAGTCAAAATCCTAAAGTCTCCTCCCACTGAGCACCTAACAAAACCCTTCCCTTCAGCCTTAAGCAAAGGAACAACTTGGTTAGACCAAAAGGATGCTGAATAAAAATAAAGAAGACCATAAGATTGCGAGTTACGGATTGTCAGGATGCCTTTTCCAATCCTTCCCTGGTTTATTTCCCATACTAACACTCATATCTACATCCGGGAGGCCGGACTCTGTGATCCACCCTGGCACAGCTGAGGCAGGAGCCTCGCACTTCACCGGGGTCCCTCAAGGTCACGGTCACACACACACCCCCCTCATGCATGTGGAAGTCACACTGTGCCAACCCATCCCCATGGAGATTCCCACCTCAGGGAAGAAGCCAAGGTCAGGCTGTGTCTCCAGAGGTGTGTTTGCAAGAGAACTCAAGAAGCCTAAAGTCACCCAAAGCCACACTTTAAAGCTTCCCCTGGTGCCAGAACTTGGCAGCTTTCCCTGGTAATGAGCACGGAATTAAAACCCTCATCAAGAAGAGCGTTCATTTACATTAATGCACTGGAAAAAGGCAGCGGTGTCAAGTGAGGCGCTTGTAATACAAGACCTCGGGAAAGAAGAGCACGGAGCCTGCCCCACGTTAGCAAAGGTGCAGGGAAAGGAGGGTAGGAGCAGCCGGGGGCCCGCAGGAGCACAGAGGGCGGCGAGCACAGGGCTTTAACGGGGGCTTAATTAAAATAAGAGTTTAAAGACGGACCCAGGGAATCCCAGCACTCAAACACCACAACCACCGTTTATCACTTTGCATTTTAAAGCCAGGCAACAATATGGTCCCTACGGCAACCGCTCAACTCCCCCGAGA